CGCACGCACGCACGCACGCACACCACTCTCTGCCGGCTTCGGCATGCCATTATGGCCCAAAACCGTGACTGTTACTGTGTCAATCATACCTGTTCATGTACAAGTCCAGGCAAAGCTGACGTTCTTGTTTCCGGTACTGACCTGAACAACGACGGGATCCCCGATTGCCTACAACCAGAGGCAGGCTCTCAACGGCCGTCTGGACTCTATTCAAAAAATTCATTGAAAGGCTGTTCTGCGAGGAAAGCCTCCCAGCAGCCTGAGCCTTGCGAACATGTTTGCGACATGTCATTAGACCGGAGGGCACGCTGGGACTCCCAGGCCCAAGGGTGACTCTGTGTACAGGCCCTGCAAAGGCCAAGTGAGAAAACGCAGGTTGAAAGCGAGCCTGGCAGTTGTGCTATCTCCGCAGGGCTATGTTCGACCGACTGACAGCATTGCAACGTTTGGCCAGCAAGATCCGGCAAGCAGAGGCTTCGCTCGCTTGATGGCGCATGACCAGCCATTGGTCCTTGGCTTGACGTCTTCTCTTTGTCAGACCACTTGCTTGAACTGCATTGCTTCATGGCTGCTCTGCAATTGTCGTCCACACGGCTCTGCAGCATGTGGCCTGCGAAGATAGTTTGCTGATGTTTTCGCTGGCCTTCTTTCCTCCACTATTCATGACATTTCATCATGACAAATGTTCACGGTTCTCTTATTGGTACTACCAGTAGTGCCAGTGCTGTTAGCATGCGTTATCGCCATCATCACAGAGCCCGTTCTCATCGTGGTAAACTGCTACTGCTCTTGCAATGTTTGTTCTTTCGCTTTAACTAGGGCGGCCGGAGAGTAAACAAAGGTGACAGGGTGATAGACTATGTATCTGGGCCATCTCATGCCATGTGGCCTCAGCGTTGGCCTTGGTCAGAGATTCTCCAGCTTTGTTCGCCTTGCTCCTGGTTTTTGCAGCCAGTTTTTGTTGCAGCGAGCTGTCCAGCTTTTTCAACTTTGAGGGCTCAAGACCGTCCAGCCAAGCCTGGCAAGAGTATCAGGAGCTCAGATATGCAGCATGCAGATGCATGAAGCTTGCGGTGCGGTTTGGCAGGTAGGGCCCTTGCTTCAGTTCATTCGGGATCAGGCACGTCGTGCTCATATACTGCATACAGTGGCCTACAGTGACTAGCTGCCACTGTAACACGTGCTAGGTATTGAATTATTGCCCGCCTGCTGCTGCTGCTGCTGC